CTATTTAGTGGCATTAGAACATCTTAATGATGCTGTGGGAGATAAAAGCAGAGTAAATAATCAAATATAGTATGATCTCAAAAGTTTGTGTATAAAAAACCAAGATAGGAAAGATATGCTTCAAACTTTAATAGTGTTTATCACTGGGTGATAATGCAATGAGTAAGTTTCTCCTTCCTACTTTTCTTTAGAATTTTCTCATGTGGCTGTGTATCATGTTTATGACTTGGTGGGTGGGCGGTGGTGTCAGGGAGGAATGTGATTACAAAGGACTGTTTTCCAGTATGGCTGTGTTCTAAAAATGATCCTTGGTAATAGAAGAAATCGGAAGTAGGGTTTATGGGTCAAGAAGAACAAGACCGCAGTCAGTGGAAAGTAGCTGAGATTGTAATAATAACACCCCAGAATTGTTCCTTGCTTCTTTTTTCAAGCCACTTGCCTTTACTAGCTTATGAAAGGTTTGTGTTCCTTTCCAGACCTTTCTCTTACAAAGGTTCGCCCCAGATTTTCAGAATCGTGAGCTCTGATTTTGCTCGTTCAGTCAATCAGCATTTTTAAGTGGCTAATTCAGCTATGTCTGGGAAATTCCAATACAGAGATAATTATGGAGATCATCCCTGTTCCGAGGAGAAGAGAGCATTTTGGAAGCCAAAGTTTAGTAACAGTACAGGTTAGGTGAATATATACGAGTACCTCTGTTTTATGCCACATAAGTGTGACCTGCTCTTTGCCTTTCTTTTATTTTAATCCAGCCTCATGATGATTCTGAGACTTGTCTTATTGTTGCTCTGAGAATCCAAAGGAACTGAAGACTAAAGTCATGTGATTCTACGGGCAGAGCATACACTTTGTATTTAAAAGATAAGCTTCAACGTGGAATGTTAAGTGTCTTATTTTACGTTAGAAACAACAGAAATGCTCCAAAATAAACACTAGTTTGAGGGATTTTTTTTTTAAACCAAAAACTCGACTGTTTTCTACTTGTCAAATAATGATTTTGTTAAAGATACTTAATAAATCATTTTACACGCTTTCTTTTACTGTGTCTACTTTTATATATGTGAAGTTGGGTTTTTTTTGACAATTTCAAATACTCATGTCTGATGTTTAAATTAAACTATAAGATCCCAGATAATGGAATGCCAGAAGTGAACTTTACAAAATGCTGATGTAGCTGCTTGTCATTTGTGTGATATTAGAAATTATAGTTCTTCCATTTTAATTTTATTGCTGCCAGTGTTATTTTTCCCTTTAAAAAAACTCTATTCTCAGCACTCTCTGTGTACTAACAGAATGTATTCGGTATTCAAATAAAATGCATTCTGTTTTAAACCTGTTTCTCTCATTTTAGTGTCCTCTCTCTATACTCAAATCATTTTCAACATTTAAATGTTCAATTATTAATGAAAGAGATTGGGAACTCTTCCTCAGGAGCAGATGTTCTCCCTTGCTGGAACAATGGAGATAATATTGTAATAATTCTGAAACAAAAATGATTTTGTCCATTTTGTCCCAAATCACTTCATTTTTAGGCAGAATTATGACAATGTCCACAGCACTTACTTTTAGGCCCCAGACTAAACATCAAGAGACCTGAGTTCTAGCCTGGTTCTCCCACTGACTGGTTATAGGTTCTTTGGAAGGTCATTTCCTCTCTCTGGGTCTCAGTTTCTCATCCATAAGGAGGAATTTGGACTAAATGGTCGATGAGATCCCTTAAACCTCTAAAAATCCGCAATTTTGATCCTGTTGCCTCTACTCCACGGTGTCAGATTATAAACCCATTCTTTATATGAAATGGTGGGTAGAGCCCCAATTGGTAAGAGCAGAATTGATACTGTTGTGTTCACTTCTCTTTCCTAGCTGACTTTCAAGGAAGTTATTAGACTTCCAGTGATAAGTAATTCAATTAAGGGAAGGAAGGAAGGAAAGGAAAGGAAAGAGAAAAGGAAAGGAAAAAAGAAAGAAAAGAAAGAAAACCTACCAGTTTAACCAAAAGGAAGGAAGGAAGGAAAGGAAAGAGAGAGACAAAGAAAGAAAGAAAACCTACCAGTTTAACAAAATAGAAAACCCAGACAAAATCCTTTGATACACTTTAAAAACATTCTACTTTAAAAAATCCCACTTATCCTAATGGTGCTAAAGAGGTTGTTAGCACAAGCAAAGTTGGAAAAAGTGGGTGTCATTGGGGTGCTGTGTGTACTTACTATCAGAGATGATTGAGAAGACCCTTCGGATTTGGATTGACAATTTATACTCATATGATTATGATAAAAAAGTAGAAACTAAATGTGAAATTGATCATAAAAATATATGCCATATCTGTAAAATACTCTAGTGATTGAAAGTTTAAGAAACTAGGGGCACCAGGGTGGCTCAGTCGGGCTAAGCATCTGCCTTTGGCTCAGGTCATGATCTCAGGGTCCTGGGATCGAGTCCCACATGGGGCTCCCTGCTCAGCGGGGAGTCTGCTTCT